AATTCTGATGTGGTGCGACTGTTTGCCCTATATCTTCAAAAGAAATAATGCAAAACTCTATTTGGACTGCTCCTTTTCAAACAAGAGAGAAGTTAATTGGTTCATTTTGAAAAATTCTCACCATTGCATTTTGGTGAAATAAAAGTACAACTTTAGTCTCAAATTGGCAGTTTTTGCATTTGGAACAGGCTGACACTGTAACAACTAAGCCATATTGATTATTTGATGTACAGTATATTATATCCTGGCACATGATTGTGCCACTCTATTAAGTTTATAATGTCAACTCTAAATTAGGAGTAATAGCATATTAAATTCAGAAATGTACAATCTCTTTCTTCCTCTCAAAAACTTGTAGCCAGAGAGATCTCATGCTTTATATTCCCAGAACACAACCTCAGAGCTGGAACCTATTTTTAATTCTATAAATATGTGAAAATAACATCAAGGCAAACTAGAGAACAGGAAACTGCTTTGGGTTAAAAAAATACTACAAACATGTCTAGTCACAAACATTTCTGTCATGCTAAATGTATTATTATTTTTAAAGAGCTATAACGATGCCTTAAACTTAATAGTGCTGAACTGTTTCAAGCAAATTTGAGGTTTAAATGTTGTGAAGATAGAAAAAGAAAGAGAGAAAAAGATAGTAAATACAAGATAGCATGTAGGTGAGCAACTGAAGTTACAAATACCACCAAGTGACTTATAAGTGCACTGTATCTCTACTTTTTAATACAGTACACCTTAATTGTTTTGCAAGCATGATATGAGCTAAGTCTTCATTTTATTTGGAACTACAGTACATTGGAAAGAAAAGGGGTTTGAAGAAAGGGGTTCGAAATACATTCAGAAGAAGCAGATTTAAAGTGTACTGGATTGTTGGTTTCCTGGAAGAATTAAAAAGCTCTTAGAATGGAAAAAAAATTATTGAAACCATGCAAAATTGATTAGTCATGAAGATCAGAATGGACTAATTCTAAAAATTTAAATTCGACTAAGCAATTCATTTAAACTTTGACTACATCACCATTTCAACCCACATCAAAGGTAGATAGCTAGTTTCCAAAAAGAATGTAAATTGCACTGAGGTAGGAAATGAATGGGCATCCAAAAGCCATAACTATTCCATTTATAGCATTAGCTTCACCAGCATCTTTTAGCTCAGATATGGAATAATAGATTGAAAAACTCCTAATATCATATAGGAATCTTTTCTTAACATTATTTATTGGAGTGGATTTTTATGCCATTCATCTCACTTCTTCTTCCATGTCTTGATCAAATTTTAAATTGCCAGAATGAAACCACCTTCTTGACACATTGTTGGCCAAAGTAAGTCATTATTGGTACACGTTTTTGGTAGTAGCTGTCATACCAGCAGATGGGCCAGGTTCTGCATCTCTCCACATTCACACAGAGTATTGTTATCTACTAAGAGCCTCCACTTCAGCATATTGGTTTTACACTTCAGCATTCCAACTCTCAAGTAGTATAAGGGAGGTCAGATCCTTCAACCAGATCCTCCTTTAATGTTATTCCTTACTCGATGGTCTCCTTTCTCCATCTTTTAATTCAATTTTATTCTTGAATACCCTCAAGAATGCTTGTTCTTGCCATAATGTTTGTTCTTGCTGTTCCTGGATCTAAGTCTGTGGGCTCGGGTTTATGTCTGTTCAGAGGATATTGAGGATCATTCTCTTCCTTAGTTCTCTTGGCATCTGCTGCTACTTCTCTCCAGATCTTAGGTGGGGCACTGCCAGTGAGAGGATATATTTTCTTTGTTAGTGTAGGTTTGAGACATCCTGTCACTTAGTGTGCTACTTCATTGATGGTGATACCAACTTGTTTCGCGTGTGCAGATTGACCCCACACTGGAGCAGCATACTCTGCTGAGATACTTCACTGTTGGACAATGTTGTAGTCAGTTCCCCTGCAACATAACATCCAATTCTTCTCTACCCATCTCACCGATACAGAGACTCTGGACACCTTACAACAGGGGTCCCCAACTCTAGGCAGCAGCCTATCTCCAGGCTTCAGCCCTTTGGAACTAGGCCACAGAAGTGGCAAGTGAGTGCATGTGTGCACACTCATCCCCACTTGTCCAAACAGTGGCTGTGCACGTACAGTCGTGCTCCATTTGCATGAGTGGCAGGCCCATGCTTAAGGAGCTAGGCTAATTTATACTATATTGCACCTATTCTGTACAGAGTATTTACATTATGCTGCAGAGTTTACACTCAACTCAAGGCACTGGGTTTGGCCTTTAACTTCTAAATTGGCTTGATCCATGCTATCTGAAGGACTGCTTACATATGTAAGACTCGAACAGAGCAGGAAGATCAATATTTGACTGATCAATAACAGCTATTACATTGGCTGGTAGGGGAGTATTGGGCTATCTCAATCAAAATTCAATGGTTTTAGAAATGCATCAATCATTACTGGTTCTCAAGGAACAATTTTAGGAGATATGATTAATAATGTATTTTAGAATCAGGCCTCGTGGCAATTGTGAAATCCTTACTATGCTAAATACTCCATGGCCTCTTAACCTCTTCAGGGCTGACAGGATTCTAAATTATAGCAAAATAAAATTACTCTAACTTAATGCTAGGTACAAATATAGGGAAACAAATGAGTAGATGTCTCAAGCAAGCAAACTACATGATAGAAAAGTGATACTTTCCTAAATAATTTTGTGAAATCTTCTTCCCTAGTGATTCTGCCTGCTTTCTCCAAACCAGTATTCTCCAGATGTATTTAAACTACAGCTCTCAACCTTTTTAACCAATACTGTATGGCTGTTGGAAAAGGTCAGCACCTTATTCTTCAGTGCACAGAATGCATTGCAGTCCATGCATTACTCTCAGAATTAATGAAGGTGAATTCAATCACTCTTGCTCTCAAGTTATTGTATATAGGACTGCAACTTTGACCATTTAGATTCTCCCTAATATTTCATTCACTATCCCTTGATTCAAATTATTTTTCAGAAAAAAGGCAAGGAGGTACAAACATTAACCCTTCTAAAATCCTTATGAAACAATCACCCTATTTTTATACAGCAGAGAGACTGGCTGGCTGGATAGATATAAACAAATTGAATTCAATCTTTTAAAACATTAGCTTTTAAAATCTTCTGTTGTAAATGATTAAAGGAAATTTCCCAGCATTTCTTAACTTGTCTTTAAAATAATTTATATATTTTTTTAACATTTTGTATTTGTAACTGCATTTGTAACAGCTAATTTCCTCCTTTTTAAATGGTGTCATTTTCTATCAACACTAACCTCTCCAGTGATTCTAGTGAAACAAATATTTCAATATATTTCAATCAACAAAGCCTTTAATACATAATTTAAAAAATAACACATATATTAATCTTAGCTGATTCAGATTGTGTGAGATAATTGATTTCACTAAAGAGTTGGTGGTTGATTGCATTTGAATAAATGAAAAATGGGTGAATTTTGAGTGTGTTTACAGATTATTGCATAGGACACAAATGGTTTCACTTCTGCCTGTTTCTGCCTCATTACCTACAATCCTTCACACATGTACATCTATTTTGTTTTTTAAACTACTGTGGTTCTCTATATTTAACTAGGATTATTGTGCTTGATCATCCCCATACTGATCCCCATTTAGTTTTTCTGCAACACCAGTAATGATTATAGATGTATCTACTACTGGTAGAGCATCTCTGATATGAGTCTACTTGCTTCTGTAATGATAAAGTAAGCTTAAATATACTTTTAGGTTTAAAAAAAGATTTTAAAGAAAGTTATATATACATGGTATGTGCACCAGATGTTCCTAATATTTTAAGACATCATACAAATGGATGAATGCAGGATTTGGAGTAATTGATGTTTCCTTAGACAGAATAGCTTAATATGATCTGTAGTACCCTCCAGATGTTTAAAGCACTAATAAAGACGTCAACATGCCACAGAGAAATAAAGAAAAGGAATTAAAGCAAACTTAAAACTTTTACTCCACAGAATTCTCCTCTCTTACCCATTTACTTTTTCAGACTTATGAAAAGCAGTTAAAAGGCTATTAACACATACACTGTCATATTTCGAGAGTAATCATCTCACGTTCAAGATCTGATCTAGGAATTTTTTTTTTAAAAAAGAGAGAAAACTACCGTCCCCATTATTCTGATGAAGGCCATGCGGGATTGCAACCCCAGAATGCCAGCCACCGTGTGCTCATCGGAAATGCTGGAAATTAAAACCCAAGGCATTTGAATGATATTTATTTGGCGAAGGTGGTCCTAACGGGGAAATCCTGGAAAGAACACAGACCCGTTGTACTGAAAGAGATGGACTGTTTCATGGGCAGATTCCATTTTTCTTTTTTTAAAAAAAAAAAGATAATCCGATATAATTTTATTGGAAGCCCGTGCTCCTCTTTCTCTCTCTCTATCAGAAGCCATCGCAGAAGGGGTGAAGAGGTTCACCTCGGATAGTTTCTCCCTCTCCTCTTACCATCCTCTCTCTTTGAAATGAAATTACCGCCGATTCTCCTTCCCCTAAACCGGCATCTCCTAAACGGGGCTGAATATCAAATGCAAACTTAAAGAGCCGCTGCCACCCCAGGGGCTTCTAGCCAGCGTCGTTTCAATGTCCATTCCTCAAACCTCCCACCTAGGGCTTGAAATGAACTCCTAGTTTGACCTTCTCGGTGAGCGGCCGCACCGCTCCCGCAGAACAACACGCAACCTCGGCTTCGCCATTTGACGCTCGCTCCTTCCTTCCTTCCCCACCCACCGCCCTCCTGCACTCCCCGGGTGCTTGTTTTCAAGGCGAAGACTCCCTCCGGGGCTCCGCGACCCGATCTGCTTCCCACCGCGGTCGAGGAAAGCGCCCAGCGGGCATCTCTCGGCTGCCCAATCGCCAGCTGCTACCTTTGCCCAGGTCGGGGCAGCATTGGGCGCGTCCCCGGATCCCGGCACCTCAATGCAAGGCAAAGCCATCTGAACGTACCTTGATAATACTGCTCCTCCGAGGGGTCGCCCGGGCCGCTTCCAGGAGCCCGGAGTCTGAGTCGGTTGCCAGGGTGCTGGCAAAGCGCTCCGCGGCGACGGTGCCGGTCCCGGCTAGCAAGACTCCGCTCCTCCGTTCCCTTCTCTTCCCTAGAGACGCCGCGGACATCTCAAAGGCTCCGGGCTCCGAAGACATCTCCGCGTCTTCCTCGCCCTTGGGAGCGATCACGGACGGAGGTTCTCGATTCCCCGAGCCTTGGGCCATGGCGGGTCTCCCGCTCCACCAAACGGAATCTCAACTTAGCGGAGGCCACTTCCACAAAAAGAGCGCGAGTCAGACCCCCTTTCACTGCAGTGCAGCGGACCCACCAAGTTTCTCCGGGAGAGTCATTGGGGTGGCGCGGTTCAAAATCCCCGGCTGGCTCGGTCAGCCCCAAGGCTGAGAGCGGCGGTGGCAGGGGAGGGGCAGGAAGGCGCTAAACTTGGACAATGAGGGAGTTTTCCAGCCGCAGAGAATTACAAAGCAACAGCCATCCCTCTCACACGCCCATCCAAACGGAGACTCTCTTTCTTGCCCTCTGAGATTAATACGCGCATCTCATACATATATATGTATACATATACATACATACATACATACATACATACATACATACATACATACATACATACATACATGAGACAGGTATATCTAGACAAAGAGGCTATATGCATATATAGATAGAGATAGGCAGGTAGGTAAGTAGGTAAATAGAGAAAGAGATAGACGCGCTGATCTCAAGTACGCGCCAAGGAAGACGCTCTGAGCCATGCGAAGCCCGCCAACCAGCAGGAAGTGCAGCCGTTCGTACTCTTCTTGCCTGTGACAGAGCCCGACTGCTTTTGACAGACGAGACTGATAGACGTCAGCCAGGGCCAGTAATCGCGGGAGAAGCGTTTTGACCGGAGCCGGCGCGGCCTATCGTTGTCCCGCGGGGCGTGGCCACGGCATATTGTGCGCGCGTTTCTGCGCGCGCGCGCGCACGGGGGGGGGGCGGTGTACATTGAAAGAGAGAAAGGAACGTGTTCTTCGCTGAGTGCGGGTCTCAATAATTGAACAGGCATTTACAATTATTTAATTTTTTTTATTTCTATTGCTTGCAAGCTCCTTTGGTACTTGTTATACTGAAAGGCACTATAGAATAACAGCAATAAATAAATGTGACATGCAATGAAAAGTCTTAGACAGGTAGCCTACTGAACCGAGTAGATGGCAGATAATCCTCTTTGGCAGTAACCTCGTGGAAAAGGTATTCTTGTACTTAACAGTTGCGTCTTACTGTCATTTGATTGTGAAGGATACAGAGTTACAGTCCCTTCCAAAATGGTTTAAAATGTAATCACATTTTAATAATTAAAAGTTGTCAACAGGTGATTCTCCCACACCTTTTCCAACCTGTTATATTCCAGCAAAGTTAAACAGCACCTCCCTTTGCCTCCTATAAACATGACATTCATCTATCTGGTAGAAGGACCACCACTCAAACCCTCGGCAAAGCTGAACTTAAAATGATAGGCCTGGACTTTTTCTTTCTTAAAGGCCTTTTTTTTTTCAGGAGGAAATGCTGCTTGGTGCAAACATTACCAGAAGTATCAGAATGGAACTACAGTATAAAAATAGCCTTTTTAGGGCCTTATGGATTACTATATCAGCGACCAATTCATATGATTGAGGATAGTAAAGTCCTCAGTCTGGCAAGATTTTGTCTAATGGAGTGGAACAATAAAGAACTCAGCTTGGAAAAATCACTAGGTGTCATTTTTGGTCGGGGCCTGACAAGCACATCAGTTGCTTAAAGGAAAGGTTAAAACACTTTTGCCACACACAAATGTGTAACTTTGGATCATTTTCCTCAAAAAAATCAATGAAGAAGTATAATGGTTTGGATTCATTTGTTTAATATGTACTTTTAGGACTTGTATGGGGAACATGTTTATGAAGAAATATTGAAAGTTTTCACACACGTTTAAGGACTACTGTATAACATGCTTTCATGTTCCAGCATGCAGGCATCTGCCTTCTGCCTTCAGAGCAATCTTCCATTTACAGTATGCTGCACAAATCTACTCTGTTAGCAATATGGCTGGAACCAGCATACCAGTTGGAGGCCCATCTGACCACAACCTCCACCTACCAGGCAGCAATACCTGCATTTGAGAAATGATTAGTGGTAGACAATTCTTGGGAACATCTTTGCTTTTTAAAAATTATCTTTGTGGCATACAAATTTTCTGGAGAAATGAAATTGATTTTTCCCGCAGTTGTAGGAAGTTTTCAAGCCAATGATCAGGAATGATGGATTGCAGTCTAATAATTGAAGGCCGTAATTTGATTATCAATGGCATAATTTAAAACAAGTGAAATCTCAACTGAGCCTATAGTGTTGGATTGACATGCGAATGGGAGGAGAAAGAACACCCATTTTCTCAATTACTTCCAAGTTAATTGAGAAGTGTTATTGTTTTTGTCTTCACATTGTGCTTCCGAGTGTAATATTTTTAAGTGATCCAGACATCTATGATGAATGCCCTGCTTATTTAATCACAAAAATCAACCATCGAACAGATAGATTAACTGTAAACAGATAGATTAACATCAAAGTAAACTGAAAAGAGAGCAACATATAGGAACATGTAGAAATCTGCAGATTAGTTATACTATACTTTAAGAATTATTATGGTGATGTGAGGGGACAGAATATCAAGTGGCATTTTAGTACACTGCAAAGTCATCAATACTGTAGATCTGACAAATTTCTTTCCTACATCAGCTATTCAACTGATGGAGCAGGAGTCAAATTATTATAACCAAGAGGACAAATCTAGTACAGATGTCAGAATTGTTTGAACAAAGTTATCACACCAGAATAAACATGGGCATGGGTTCTAAACCTTAGGCAGAGATCATCATTACCTGTACATTCAGAAGGGTAGCCAGTTAGTCTGTTGCAACCAGTGACTACATTGGAAGCTGAAAAACCCAAGGCTGTATATTATCACAAGATTGTTTTATTATTTTGGACAGATACCTCCATTTCATTGCTTTAGTTCAATAAAACTGCACTCGCCTGTCAGCAGTCTTCATTTATTAAAGCACAATCTACTCCAATATCTCTAATAATAAGTGTATATTCACCAGCAGTGGAAGAATAGAACCTATTAAAGAATTTCAAAATGTGATATTTGTCAAAATAATGCGGCCTTTGCTTTCTCGGCCACTGCAAGTTATTTTATTCTATTTTTGTGAGATAGAAATTAAAAAAATTATATAATTTAGAAAATGCAGTTAAGGCTTCAGTTTAACCTGTTAGTCATGCATTTTTGCTAAATGTTGATTGAAACATTGTGTTTTAGTTAGTTTATTTACACTAATAACTACAATTCTCCAAACAGTTTAAAGTTATTTAAAACAGTAAGATTGTCAAAATAATACATTAATACAATTTATATAAATACATAATTTAATGAACAAACATTAATAAAACATAAAAATAAAAAAACAAAAAAACAATCTTGCTAGCAAAATGTTGGGGCCTAAAGTATTATTATTGTAATTATGTTAAGGAATGGTTTTATACAGTGCTGGGATTCAAATAATTTAACAACCGGTTCTCTGCCCTAATGACTGGCTGAGTGGGCGTGGCCATGGTGGGCATGGCCAGGGGGTGTGACAGGCAGCACTCGGCCTCCTGCAACCCTCTGGGAAGAAAAACGGGCCACAGAGAGGCTGCCTCCCGTGCCCTATTTTGGGCTTAGTAGGCCTCCCTGCAGCCTCCTGGGAGCAAAAACAGGCCGCAGGGTGCTGTGCTGCACCCCACCCAAGCCCCATTTTGGACCCTGCACTTACCTGGGATCCAAAACAGGCCATGGGGGTAATCCTGGAAGGGAGAGGGCAGGAAGGGGTGGGGCCAGCCAGCAATTTAACAACTTGTTCACCCGAACTGGCTGAATCCCACCACTGGTTTTACAGTAATCTAACCATAGATGTTTTAAGTTTTGGTATTGTAGACTGTAAGCTGCTGAGGATAATTTTGATTGTAGAAGAATAGACCTATGTTCAATAAATAAACAAAATTAAAATGTACTATAAAAATCCTGAGATAAGAAAATTAAGCCACTTACTGCATTCAACATATTATTGTCATGGATTACAAATTTTAATTTTAATAAATCCAAAGTAGAGGCTGCTCTGGGTTCAGATAACATAGTAAGCCTACTTTAACAACTTCATATGACAGGGGAAGGAGAATAATGATGGCTTACATCAATTTGACTTTTGAGGCTTAATGAGTTGTCTGAAGACAGCCATAGGAATGTAGTATCAATTTATATGTCTGTGATGGTGAACCTATGGCACGCAGCGCTATCTATGTGGGCATGCGAACCATCTCCCCAACTCAGCTCTGCTGCGCATACGTGTGCACCTCCCACCAGCCAGCTGGTCTACAGGTCTCTGCCACGCATATGCGGGGGGGCGCATGCAGGGGGTCACGTGTGCATACGGGGGGCATGGGTGCTGTTCTGTCCCCAACCACATGCACACACACCAACAGACGTTCAGGAGTTAAAGACCAAACCAGCCGGCAAAATCCTTTTCCTTAAGATAACGGAACTTGGCAACAACCTAGTGGCTGCCTGCCAAGAGTTTATTATTTACAAAGAGGAGAGATAACTTCTCCCCACTTCTGATACATCAAAAGAAACAGCTCGAGACTTCCGGTTGGCGCCATCGTCGTTGCTAGACGGTCTCTTTAAGACTGCCAGCCCCGCCGCCCGTAAAGAGCCGCCTCTACAGCTGAGAGGCGGCTTGAAAAACCACGTTCTTGAAGAAACGGGAGGAGAGCCGGTGAGACCAGGTAGAGCCCCCTGCGAAGTCCCCAGATTGTCCTTTTTGCTTCTGGGGAGGAAGCAGGGTGAGGCTCCCTATCCAGCTCGCCAAGGCTCCAGACTCCAGGGACAACTCTGCATCCAGCAGAGCCAGATGACGTGACCAACATAACCAGCGAAATCCAAAAGAATTATCAAAAATAAACAGGGTGGAATCTGGACTTGAAATTCAAAACTGCAAGTATTTGTATTAGCCCTGTGATTGAACTTAAAACGGACAAGTGAAAGTTTGCTAAAATGGCGTCCGGCTTCAGCGACAGGAAAAAAGCTGAAAGCGAAAGTGGATTTGCCTGAGTGTTTTAATACGTTACAAAGTATCTAAAGTAATAGCGCTGGCTAGAAGAAAAGAGAAAAGTTTTTTTAAAAGTGATTCTGATCTGTTCCTTCTCCGTTAGAGATTTGTTTAAAGCTGGGGAAATTTCTGAGAGGATTCTGTGGTGAAAAGGGAGGACTTCCTTTTTAGAAAGAATCAGATTGCGTGGCAAAATGGCTTCAAAGCAGACAAAGCCAGCCAGTAAAGCTGCAGGGGGGGGAGCGTTCCCCCACTCACAAGTCACAAGAGCAGCTATTAAGTTTGCAGACTCAGAGCCAAGCACAGGAGACTGATTTTAAAGATTTGAAGGAATTTATTGCTGCGGCTCTGATGAATCAAAATGAAGTTTTGGACCAGAAATTTGAAAAATCTCAACAGGAAATTAAGGAGGTGGTTCAAGAAAAGTATGACAAGATGAAGCGTGACATACTGACAGTTGTGACTGGCTTGTCAGAAGTAGTTGTTCAGATTGATAAAAAAGTGGAAGAACTTAGTTCAGAAGTAGAATCTAAAATGAAGGAAGCTGATTATAATATTTCTAATGTTGACAATAAAACGCAAAGGATTGAAAATGAGGTGACAATGATGCAATTTAGATTCATGGAGTTTGCTGTAAGACTGAGAGGAATAAAAGAAAATAACAGAGAAGATTTGAGAAGGGTTTGTGCTGATGCCCTGGCTGTGATGCTAAAGGTTAGCCCTGAGGAGATTTTGTGCAAGATGGACAAGGTCTATAGAGTGAATTCTTGGGTGGCAAGGCAAAGGCAATTACCTAGAGATGTGGTGATCTACTTTACAGATAGAAGAATAAGAAATGATATCTTGCAAAAGTCTTTTGTTTCTACTATTCAAGTGGATGGAAGGGAGATTGGGATTTACAAAGAGTTGCCGCCTAAGATGCTAAGAGATAGAAAGGACTTTGGATTTTTGGTGACTGAATTAAAGAAACAACAAATTCCATTCAGATGGGATGCTCCAGTTGGCATAATATTGAGGTATCAAGGAGAGATATCGATTAAATACTGTTGAAAAAGCGGAAGATTTTTACTTCAATGTTTTTAAAACTGGCGCAACATCTCCACGTACATCCTCAGTGTTAGGTATAGAGGAGGGTGAGAAAGAGAAGCAATTTGAACAAGAGCTTGAAGAGCAGCGGAAACAGATGGAGGTGGAGGCAATGGAAACTCAAGGAGCAACAGGGGGTTTTTTGGATGAACCTTTGCTGGATCTTCCTTTAGAGGCTTTAGGTGGACCACCCAAAAATACAAGAGAAGTGGCAGTGGCTCTCGAGTTGATGTCGTATAAAGCTAAAGACCAGCGTATAACTCAAGCAGCTTATAAACAAATTTTAGAGAAACAACAACAGCAGAGATCTAAGCTATCGCAAGATAAGAAGGGAGTCAATGGTAAAGCACAAAAATCCGAAGCCATGGGAGGAGCTAAGCCGAAGACTACCAGTCTGGAACAGAAACTTCAGCAAATGCTCTTAACGCTTCAGGAGACTACAAATGACAATTAAGTTTTTATCTTGGAATATGAATGGATT